GATTTCAATAATTTTCAGCGCTTTGCTTTTATGTGGCAAGCACAATAACCATACCGAGTTTGGTTCAAATTGCTAGAACGGTTAGCGAGATACATATATGTGATCATAAGTGGGCGGAGCCACGCCCATTTTCCAAAATTGTATCATAAGCGTATTTCTTGGTAAAAAATTGTTGCAACCATCAATTTTGAATAAATTAGCTTTAATATTTACTGATTTATCGAGGATTTCGTATTTTTTTAAATTACCGTTATATGGGATGTGGGCGTGGTTATTGTCCGATTTTAAAAATTTTCGGCCATTTGGTATGTTGTAGCAGGGCCAACAACTGTGCCAAGTTTGGAAGAAATTGGTGCAGCGGTTACCAAGATATACGCATGTAACCATAAGTAGGCGTGGCTACGCCCATTTGCCAAAATTTTTTAATATTCTTATTTATCGTCTAAACCTCATTGTAAATATCAATTTTGAGTGAATTATCTTCAGTGGTTACTAAAATATCGCACTTTTCGTATTTCTGAAAATTACCGTTATATGGGAGGTAGGCGTGGTTATTGTCCGATTTCGCCCATTTTCAATACCATCCGTCCCATGCCCAAAAGAAGTCCACGTACCAAGTTTCGTTAAGATATCTCAATTTTTACTCGAGTTATCGTGTGCACAGACGGACGGACGGACGGACGGACGGACGGACGGACGGACGGACGGACGGACAGACAGTCACCGCTTAATCGATTTCTCTTTTCATTCTGATCATTTATGTATACATTTGTCTATATCTATCTCGATTCGTTTTGCCTGTTACAAACAACCGTTATGTGAACAAAGTTATAATACCCTTGTGCACAAGTGCGCTCGGGTATAAAAATGTTAAGTACTATTGGTCAGTTGACTGTGAAAAAGCCTTTCTAACGATAAAAAACCATTTATGTTCATTACCAATTCTGGCTATTTTTGATAATAAAGCTCCAACTTTCATATACACGGATGCAAGCATTAAAGGAATAGGTGCGGTTCTGAAGCAAACGCAAAAAGATGGCGAAATGAAACCGGTAGCATACTTTTCCAAAAAACTGAATGAATCCCAAAAAAAGAAAAAGGCAATATTTTTAGAATGTTTAGCCATAAAAGAAAGTCTGAAATTTTGACAACATTGGTTAATAGGAACTTCATTTACCATCTACACAGATCATAAGCCTTTAGAAAATTTGAATATTAGAAATAGAACAGATTATGAACTAGGAGACATGACATATTACTTATCACAGTACAATTTTACGATAAAATACAATCCAGGTAGGAATAATACCGAAGCTGATTGTTTAAGCAGAAACCCTGTTTATGAAAGTAATGAAAATGAAGAGGATAAATTGAGAATAGTGAATATTATCACCATAGAAGATATAATGAATGATCAAAAAGAAAATTCTCAAATAAAAAATCGGAAAAATACTATTATGGAAAAGGGCATTTTTTATAAAAAGAACAAAAAGAAATCCAAAATTATCCTTTCGGAAAACTTTAGTAAAAAATTAATAAAATGGGTACATGAACAATTTTGCCACATTGGAATTAACCAGATTGAATCAAAAATAAGACCGTTTTATACAGCGCCAAATCTTGCAGATAACATAAAACTAATCTGTAAACAGTGCGAAGTCTGTATTAAAAATAAGACAAGGTTGAATAAGAAGTATGGATTAATGTCTCAATTAGGACCAGCCCTAAAACCATTTCAAATAATGTCCATAGACACGATAGGTGGATTCGGTGGCAACAGATCTACAAAGAAATACCTACACCTATTAGTGGACCACTTTACTCGTTTCGCTTACAATTTATGCTCAAAAACTCAATTAGCTAAGGACTTTATGAGGCTAATAGACCAAGTGATAAAAGAGAACAAAATCGAAATATTACTTTCAGATCAATACCCGGCACTAAAATCGAGAGAGTTTAAAAATTATTTAAAAGAAAACTCAATTGAAGTAATTTTCACAGCAGTGGACGCACCTTTTTCGAATGGTTAAATGAAAGGTTGAACCAAACTCTGGTCAACAGAATCAGATGTGCAATAAACAGTACAGAAAAGAAAACTGCCTGGGCGACAATAGCAACAGACTGTATAAAAGCATATAATATGACTAATCACACAATAACAGGATATTCACCAATGTATCTACTAAGTGGAGAGCCCACCGACTTGCTGCCAGTGAGTTTGACATTGCGAGCTGAACCTGGGAAACTTGCAGAAGATCGGAAAATAGCTTTCCTTAGATCAAAAAAGTCACACAATCTAAATAAAGCAATTTTTGACAAAAACAGACTAAATTATAAATTTAAAAAAGGTGATATGGTTTACGTTATGGCCAGTAATAAACTAAACAGATCGAAAATGGATGAAATTAGGATTGGTCCTTTCAAAATAGTGGAAATGCTTTCAGATTCCATCTGCAGAATAGATACTGGACGAGGAAAATCATCTTTGGGCCTTTACCACATAACAAAGCTAATTCCGATTTCTAACTAAGCAAATTAATCCCAATTAATTTGCTTGCCCCAAGGGGAGATGTAAGCTTTGCATAATACTCTGTTTAGTTAAGTTGGGTATATGCGAATGCACCTTATGTAAAGCAACACGACGATACGAAGAAGTGGGAAGAGAATGGAAAAGAAAGGTGCTAGAACAAGTCAATAAAATTTCTGGATATGTCAAAGTAAGCTGAGCACATGTGAATTGTGTAAATTGAAGTAAAAT